CACACATGTTTCAAGCTTTTGTTAATTCACACATAGTTGTTTTGGATTAAGTTCCATAAATTTCCCCAGTGTGTTAATGTCATTTAAAAAAAAACATTGTGTTGTAAGAAAGGAAAGAGTACTATTGAGGGCCATGGTGACATCCAGCCCAAGCTGCTGCTGAGGGCCATGTCTGGGTCTGTGTCCCTGCCATAACCAGAGTCTGTGTTGATATCAGTGGCTCCTGTTACCATCGAAGGCTATGTAGATGCTTGGGATCTGGGCCACCACCAGGGGCCATGTTGGTACCTGAGGGTCATGCTGCTGCCAGGGCTACGCTGCTCTGAGTGGCCTGTGCTGCCATTTGGGGCCATGGTGACATCTAGGCAGGGCTGCTGCTGAGGACAATGTCAGGATCCATGGCCCTACCACAGTTGCGGTCTGTGTTGATGTTTTTAGCCCATATTGCCACCAAAGGCCATATGCCTGGGGGTCTAGGCTGCCCCTTGTGGCCATGTTAGTGTCAAAGGGCCATGCTGCTACGGGGCCCTGCAGATCTGGGTGACCTGCATTGCTATTGGGACCATGGTGTTGTCAGGCTCGAGCTGGCAAGGGCCATGCCTGGGTCCGTGGTCCTGCTATAGCTGGGGTCTGTAGCCCATGTTACCACGGGGTGAGGGTGGGGTGGAGGGCGAGTATGTTGAAATCTGAGGGCCATACTGAGCTTGCCGGCCCTGGGAGAGCTGGCTCTGCCCTATACAGGGGAGCTGGCCCTGATGACCCCAGCCCTGGGGAGCCGGCCGTGCACTCAGGAGAGATGGGTCCACCCCTCACCATGGGCTTGGGAAAGCTGACTCCGGATGGCGTGTGTGCCGGAGAGCTATCTCCATCCCTCGCCTGAGGGGGTCAATCCCAGCTGAGGCCCGGACTGACCAATTTAGCTACCACCCAGGCCCATATCCAGTGCTTTGAGTTGGCCTATCCCAACGTCTACCCCATCTATGACCTGCTGGATCTCTCTGAGGGACTGGTCCTGTGGAACCATAGCTGCAGGATCTCCATGACTCGGGCAACAACAGGATATCTGAGGAGTTTCAGTGAGGGTTCAGTATTGATAGTGTACCCGAAGCCAGAGGCCTTGAACCCGACCAACAGCTCATTACAAAGAACATTTGTAAGTAAAGCTGTTTGGACGAAAGGGTCTACTGCATGACACACCACAGCCCCAGTGCCACTAAGACAAAGGAAGAGGTGATGGAGAGGCAGGAAAGACGGAGGAGAGAAGTGGGTTGCCTTTTTTAGTTAATATTTTTAGTTTTTTTGGGGGGTACTGTAAGGGTGAAGGGTGGATATGGAAGGACTGAGAAATGAGGGAGATTGGGGTGCATGATGTAAAATTCCCTAAGAATCAATAAAAAATTATTATTATTATTTTAAAGAGGGAGTAGTGTCATACAAAAGAAAGTTGGGCTTATGTCAGTTTGAGAACGTAAGTTATGGCTGCAAATAGAGTCCTCTTATAACAAGGTCATTGGTTGTAAATTTAGCTGTGTTAAAGAAAGAATGCAGGTGGAGAAGAAAATTAGGAAAGTGAAAATAAAATTAAGCTTATTCCTAACTTGTTTTAAATAGAATCACAAACATCATTGTAGACTCTTAGTCAGACTGGCTTTGTCGTGTGTTTTCTCCCTTAAGTTCTCTTCATTCTCCAGTTGTTTACTATAATAATCTTAGTTTTAAAGTGTTTAGTACAAAGTACAGTCAAATAGCCTTTAAATATCAATTGCAGGTTTTTTTCTTAGTTTTTCCTAGTTTGGGCAACTAGCATATTTTATTATTATAAAGTAGACTCAGACTTCTTTGTTATTTTGTCCCCCCCCCCCCCCCCCCAGAGCTGAGGACTGAACCCAGGGCCTTGCACTTGCTAGGCAAGCACTCTACCACTGAGCTAAATCCCCAACCCCATCAGACTTCTTATAAACCTGAAAGAGAGAAATACATGCATGTTGTAGTGTTCTTAGACTTTAACATGTTTTTGTGAATCTCTTGTTTTCTCTGTTTAGTGAAAAACTTTAAGTTGTGTTAAAGAACTAAACCTGTGTGACAATTTTAGTTGTGAAATTTACATCTTACAATTATCTAGTATTAGTTTTGATTTGTATTTATTTTATTTGCTTGTTTATTTTTAGACAAGGTCTCCCTCTGTAGTTCAGACTGGCCTTGAACTTTTGGCAATCTTCCTATCCCTTCCTCTTTGAGTACTAGGATTACAGACGTGCATCACCATGCTCTGCTTAGTAATGATTTGTAAGTTTTAAGTCATTAAGAGCTACTTCTGATTAAAAAAAAAAAAACAAAAACCAAAAACTGTCTTTTCATGTTTCTGCCACAGGGTGGTGTACTGTAGCTATTTATGGAAATTCTGTTTTGTGACTTCAACAGCCTGATCAAACCTAACTTAAAATAGAATTTTATGTATTCTATAAAAAAATAAATTGCCGGGCGGTGGTGGTGCACGCCTTTAATCCCAGCACCTCGGGAGGCAGAGCCAGGCGGATCTCTGTGAGTTCGAGGCCAGCCTGGTCTCCAAAGTGAGTTCCAGGAAAGGCGCAAAGCTACACAGAGAAACCCTGTCTCGAAAAACCAAAAAAAAAAAAAAAAAAAAAAAAAAAAAAAAAATAAATTGTTTATAACAGTAGATAATCTTTATAGAATCTTATTTGAACAATATTTTAGGGACTTTGATCAGTTTTTATTGCACTTGTACTTAAACATTTTATTTGGAAGTAATTTTAGACTAAATTCATTGTAAAAATCAGACTAGTAAAGGTGAAATCCTTAAAGCATTTATCTAGATTTACTTTTTATTAACATTTTATCCTTTGTATACACCTTTTAATTATATATACATATACTTTAAAAAAATCTTAATATTTTTGTGTATGTGTGTATGATGTATGTATGTCTGCACATGTGTGGAGGTCAAAGAACAAGTATTTCCTCTCCTATGTTTACATGGGTTCCAGGGATTGAACTCAGGGTGGCAAGCACCTTTACCTGCTGAGCCATTTCTCAGGACCTACATGTGTAATTTTTGTGTCTGGATGAACATTTGATGCTTAAGTCACCTTGTGATGTGACACATTATCCCTAAATGCTACATTGTGTATTCAAAGGAACAGTCCTAGCCTTTATATAACTGTTGAGTATCAATTTCAGGAAATTTAACATTCATAAAAGGCTTTTATCTGTCTACCATCAGTATCTCAATTTCTCTTGATTCAGTTCACTTCAGCCCTTATTCCGCCTCTAGTCCGGTCATTTGTAATATTTAATTGTCATGACTATTTAGATTCCTTGACCTGAAATATTTCCATAGCCTTTTGTCTTTCTTAAAAAAACGTTGAACTTCCCTTACCGAAAAGCATTATTCATTTCAATAATGGGTTTGTCTGATGATTCTTCATGATAGAGGCTACACATTCTCAGCTAGATTGCAGAGATTTTGTTGTGTCATCTTTGGAGTATTATATATGTCCTATATACTTTTTACCAGTGATACCATATTTTGTTGGTGGTAATTTTGGTACATTAATGTTAATTAAACTTAAAAATACTGATACTTAAAAGCATAAAGATTACATATTTTAATGGAATACTTTGTCATATTTTGATACAAATGCATATTTTTGTGACTTTAGGTACATGCGTGTGTAGCTAAAGAATTATGTGCCATTTGAGGATATATAAAATGTTTTCTGTAAAGGTCGATCAGTGCTTGGGGTAGATAATATCTGAGTTTATTAGGATGCTTGAGGTAGAACATTTTAACTTTATTCCTTGCAAAACTCTGCATTTTGTCTCTGAACTACCAAAGAGAATTTTTGATACCCTCCTTGCGACTTGCCAGTCATTATAGTGAAAGAATACAATATGAGTAGGTGACATTAGATAGCAAAGAAACATTAAAAATGGAGTCATGGCAACTACAAATCTCACAGAAGTTATTATTAGTACCAGAGCCAAATAAATTTTTTTTTAGATAGATATAGCTATTTCTGCCACATCCTCCCATGTGGTGGAATTATAGATGTGCACCACCATGCCTGGTTCCAAAAACATGATTTTATAGTCTCTGTTTGAGTTTGGGTTTGTAATCGTGATTTGTTAATGCAAAATAAATACGTACTTGCCAAATACATTGATTGTAAAGAATAAACTTGACAAAGAAATACTTGCAGTTCTGTTTTATTCATAGGTTACTTGAAAGGCTTGTGCTACTGATAACTAGATAAAATAATTTTGTGACTAGCAACATTTCCCAAATTATTCCTGTAATGCTTCTTTCAGGGTGCCAATACAAATTCTCAGAAGGAAATAGTTATCTGATTTGAGAAGGTCATTGCTTATTTCACTTGAATATTCACAAATAGTATCTTAACTCTGTTGAAAAGGTGTTTGTAGCATCAGCACTGAGATGGTACAGCACTGTTCAACTCTGCTGCAAGTTGTACAGGGAAACTTTTTGCATGTTCTTATATTTAGTCTATTTACTTTGATTTTATATATATTATATATATATATATATAATATATATATGTCAATGTATTTTCCACATACAGTAGACATCAAAGCATTTGAGGTATGAAATTAGAAGAATATAAAGTAATTTGAATGCTAAAATGCCCATTACATTTAACTGTGAAAACTGGAAAATTATTGGATACTGCTGTGAGTTTTGATTTCTTCCATCAGCTTCCCAACAGAGTTTTGGGGAAAAAAATTGCATCCATGTTCTCCTAGGTTTTCTCCTTGATTTTACAAAGAAGTACATCACATAAATTATTTCTCTATAATTGCTTCTTTTGACACATGTATACATGGTTCTGAGTTCCCCTAGTTCTAAATTATACCCTGGGGCTTGGAATTCACCCTGTGTCCCTGGTACCTAGCATAGTTCTATGAACTTGGACAGTAAATGATTGAATCCAGTTTGTAAAGTTTTTATTTTTATTGCTTAGGCAAGACACCTGTGTAGATTCTGCTTCATCCCTGAGAGACAGCAAACAACCAGAAGGTTTGGAATCAAAGCAAGGTATGGATCAAATCCTTAATTTTACATGGCTTTTACCAATAATACATTTCCAGTTTGAAAATTCACCCCGTTTTACAGAGAGGGAAATGGAGTACCCTATTTGTCCATGAGCATGTCTTCTTAGCTACTGAGTGACCTGAGTGTTGTGTGGTTGGCTACAGATGCCACCAGAAAGGTTATATCATCTCAAATGGTTTTTATTTTAGTGATTTCTATTGTGTATTTTCAATTGCAAGATGGAAGTAAGTTAGCTGGGTGTCTCTAGGTTATATGTGGAACAAAGACGATAACTTTGTAGGATAACTACCCTTCCTCCCTTTGCCAAGATATTTTTCCTTAATTACTTTCTTCTTTAGAGAATAATTTTCTTTCTTTAAATTGGTTTTGACATAACAAGCTAATAGGTATAAAGTGGTAACTTTAATTATTTAAGCCTTATATATCAATAGGGCTCATAATTTAAATGCTTTAAAAAATTTTTATCTTCATTAGAAAAATTTTATTTTTTGTTCACATATCATCTCATGTTTTTTCTATTCATTAAAATGATGACTTAAAATTTCTGTAAAACTTGAGCTGTAGGAACTTCTCAGTAGAGAGAAGCAGGTTTTTATTTCTTTTAGGCAGAATTCCTGAAGCTTCACTTTGTTAATTGATAATAGATTAACAGAGTGAAAAATGTATTATTTTGTAATCTGTTATATATATTTAATATATACACAATCTAGATTTTAAAAATGCATTGGTGTTTATTAATATTTCTGATGCTTTTGGAAATTGTTCAATGCTTTTTAGAAATTCTCTAGTATTAGGCTCTTGAGTAGCCAAACAAAATTATATATTTGTACTTTGACTACTGAGTATCCTCACAGATAGAAACTGAGATTTGGTTCATCAGCATTTCTTTGTCATAGAAATGCAAGCTATAAACACATTGTTTTCAGTTAGTATAACTATGATCATCCAGCCCTCTTTACAATTCACATATAATTAGACCACAGTGCTATTGTATCTTTTCTTTTTATTTGTGAGACAGAGTCCTACTTTGTAGCCAGGCTAGCCTTCAACTCATGCTCCTCTTGCCTTTGCCTCAGGAGTGTTGTGAATAGGCATATAACCACCACACTCAGCCTGCTATTACCACTTTCCTTTGTTCCTAAAGTTCTTGGTATTGACTGAGCAAAGAGAATGTGAGTATGCTATTAGATTATCTAGGGGAAAGTACTATCATATGAAGAATAGAAAAGGCTAAAATAAGGCAGTAGAAAAGAAGCCAGAAACTGCACTGCACAATTTACACCAAGGCTAATTTTCTAAGGGAAGATGTATTTTGACTCCATGTTCAGACACCCAGAGTTCTTAAGAACTCCATTGCAGTATAAATAGCCTGTTTTGCTGTGATTTTCCTACAATAAGTAACTCTAATCATTCGAAAACTAGCTATGGAAAAGCCAAGAGGAAGAGAAAGGACCCAAGTAGTGATATGCCAGAAAAACTATGCATTTTGTTTCTATATACTGAGTTTCTCACATAAGCATGGGGAGCACACTCTTGGCAGTAGCCACACATAAGAAAGGTGAGGTCAGAGCATAAAAGGGCTACTGTGCAAAACAGTTTGTGTGAAGATGATAACTAATCTGAAGACGAGTTACATTTTCAGCATTTTTTGTTGTTGCTGTTGGTTTTCGTCCTTTTTCGTGGATGAGGATGGAACCCACAAAGAATTCACGTATGCTAAGCCGGTGGTCTACCATTGAATCACAATCCAGTTCCACCCCCTTTTAAAAGAAAACAGAAGTAAAGTTGTTTTTAAGAAAATGTTCCTAAGTAAAATATAAAATGCTTTGCTGCCTAGTAGGATAAGAATGAATTATCTGGAAGTTTTATTTATGCAGAACATCTTTCAGGTAAATTCTGGAAAAATTGGTCTGAACCAGATTGTAAGTAACTTCATGGGGTTACCTAAGAAACTATGGTTTATTAGGAAATAGAAATTCTTCAGGCTCAAAAAAAAAAAAAAAAGCGCACCCCCCCCTTTCTAAATGAAAAAAAAATGTTTTCTATTTGTATTTTGCAAAATTCTGAAAATGTAATGGTATATCTGGAACTTTTCCTACATAGTTAGCCATTCTGCTCACAATAAACTTAGTAAAAATAAAACATAACGCCAGGCAGTGGTGGTGCACTCCTTTAATCCCTGTACTTGGGAGGCAGAGGCAGGAGGATCTCTGAGTTTCAGGCCAGCCTGGTCTACAGAGCAAGTTCCAGGACAGCCAAAGCTACCTAAAGAAACAAACCCTGTCTAGAAAAAAACAAAACAAAATAAAAGAATGTAACACTCCTTGGAAATGCATTGTCATTTTAATGGCTTGACTATTTAAGATTAATCACTCAAGTTTAGTTAGTTCTAAAGTTCAATAGACCAAAATATGAAGTAGCATTGAGTTTTCTGTTTGTTCTTTCAGGATAAATCTTATTATGACCTGTTATTTCTGTATGGAACAGACATGTAATTTAAATTACCTTTTTGATTTTTTTCAGTTTCTAAAAGGCTGAAGTATTATTTGAGTAGTTATCCAGGTAGGAGTTGGACATTCACTCTCAGTTAAGTTGGTATTTCTTTGTTAAGTACCGATAGGAAATAGCATTTTTGAAACTAGCAGTGCTAAAGATGAATATTGAATTCATAAATAACCTCTACCGTACTGATGCTAATAACTAGAGGTCTACTTTTACCATGAAAATATTTATATGCAGGTATAATATTGTTTGATTGATTGGAACTGTAACAAAATTAAAACTCTTCTATTAGAAATTATTTCTTAAATCATTCATTCTCAGCCAGAGGGTAGTTATATGAGGAGATATATCAATTACAATTTTGTCTTTTAGCACAACCATGTGTATGTGTATACATGAGTATGCACTTGTGTAAGCTTATTGTGAACTTGAGATCTTAAGATTTCCTAGAATATCAGTTATTGTATTGTTGAAAAGACTTAGTGCTGCTTTTAAAATAGACATGATGTGTTTAAATTTAAAAAATGGATCATTTTGCTATAGATCAAAAAATGAAAATTTCTGTTTAATGAAGATAATGTGTAGAAAACATTTTTAAATTTTTAAACCCATCTTTGGTAGTGTAATGAGTTATTTTCCTACAGACTTATTTATGAGAACATTCAGCAGTATTAAAATACAGGTCTGTATTTAAATTATTCATGTCTTTGGGATATGTGCGGCTTACAGATATTGTAACTTAAAAAATTAAGTAAAATCTATGCTTGCATTACTTCTTTAAAGTTGTAATGCTTACAAAATTAAAACCACACTTGAGAAAGTGGATATTTATTTTAAAACCTTTGAAAAGCTGTCAACTAGAAAAGTGATTAGTTTGTTCTGTATATCTCATAAGCATGAAAATGGAGTAGACAAAAATATCACTAGTTAAAATTTTGGAGTTTATTTCTAATTGTCAGAGGTATCAGAAGATGCATTGGATTGCCTCAAGTTCCTATAATGGAAGGTGCTGACTGAAGATTGCATAAACCACCACCTGGTGGTGCTGTTGTATAGCAAACTGAAGCACTGCTGGCTGGCCTTTTTCTTGAAGTTTCTTTTAAATTGTCAGGTTTTAGAAAGACCAGTGCCTACTGCATTGTTTGTACTTGGTCAGAGTGTTGAATATGTTTTCTTACTTTGTTTAATGGTAGAGTGAACTATACAAACTTTTCTTCTATTATCTCTACATTTTTTTGTTGTTGTTACATTAGAAAAAAGGATGTTTGATTTAATCATTAGTCTATTTGATGATTCTTTGAAATATATTCACTGGAATCTAGGTATTAAAATGAATAATATAACCATACAGTACATAAAATTATCAGTGTCAGTAAGGCTGTATTTTACTTGGAATCTTATACATTTGTTTTTTTTTTTTTTCAAATGAAATTGGAGAAATACATACACACATAGAATATGCACATAAGATTTGTGCTGTGGTTAGGCTCAGATCTTACCACTAAATCTAATTGGCTCTTATAGCTATAGCTTAGCCTTTGAATTTATGAGTTAATGAATACTAGACAGCATTAAGGATGACTTGGCTTTGTCTAGGAGTGTGGCTCAGTAGTAGAGCACTAGCCTAGTGTATGCAAGGCCCTGGGTTTGATTCCCAACACTGCAAAAAAAATGTTAATGAGAGCTTGAAGAATTTGAAAGTCAGACTTTAATAGGAATAATATGTAAGGCAAGCTTTAATAGGAACAAACTGTTCCGTCAGTGGTTAAGCTATGTGGTGAACGCTTTTATTTTTAAATGAGCTTTCAGCATTCAGACCAGTGGTCACCAATAATGTATGCTTACCGTATTTCCAGGTTAGAGGAAGAAATGCCAAAATTTATATAGTAAACTAATAGTAGAAGCTAATTATGTTTTAAATCTTTCCCCTTAATATTTTTGACTTTATATACATTATATATATATATATTATATATATATATATAATGTCTATATAATTATAATGGTGTAAATTAGTTTATAAGGATAAAAAATATATGTGTTAGAGCAGGTGTTTAAAAATGTTTTCCCTTACAGACAGGCTAACAGACTATAAACTATCAAAGAATTACAGGGACTAGAGAATGGAGAGATGCTATCAGTGGGTCTCAACCTTCCTAACGCTGTGACCCTTTAATACAGTTCCTCATGTTGTGGCGACTCCTCGTCATAAAATTACTTTGTTGCTACTTCATAACTGTAATTTGCTGCTGTTATGAATTTTAATGTAAGTATGTGATATGCAGGATATCTGGTGTGAGGCCCCCGAGGGAGTTGCGACCCACGTGGAGAAGCAGGTTGTCTAGCAGCTAGACAAAGGGAAGAAAGTGTCAATGAAGCAGTTTTTGTCTCAGATTAAGTTCTGGAGGTCTGTAGTATAGCATCATGATTATACATCAGCATGTTGATTGGGCTCTTGAAAATGACTGAGAGAATAGATC